TTCATGTTCTTATTCATTATGCTTATAAGTTAATATGTTAGTTTGAATGATTGATCACCATTTAGGCTTGTATGTTAGCTATCTTGGTTTGAATTAAGAGTAGATACCATGCTTTAATTCGAATTGAACTATGAATAAGAAGAGTATGTATGGACATTTGACAACAGGGATTAGATACATGCTTGGTTGTTTAAATTGTTCTTCTATGCTTAATGGGTTCCTAATGCTTAATTTTAGGTTAGACAACAAATGATCAAATTAGGGAATTAGGAACACAAGGTTTTGACCAAACACCATGGCTTAATCATACTTTAGCTAAAATCAATCCATTAATCTAATTGAACTTGGGAACTTATTTGCTTGAGTTATTTCCATTTTTCTTGTTTTATTTATTTTCTTTTTCATTTCTGTTTTGTGTAGGGAAAATGAATTGGATCATTCAATCACCAATCCTCGTGGGATCGACCTCGCACTTACATATGCTATACTACCAAACGGCTCGTGCACTTGCGAGTATCACAAGTTGAGGATGCAGCTGAATCTATTTTGGTGCAGCTGAATCGAAGCAACAGTCCTTGAAGTTCAAGTTGGGTTCTTGACGAGTGGGAGACAGTGGTCCCAAGATCTATGTATTACAAAATCCGGGGCCTTCGAGGCCAAACAAGGCATGCCCTAAGTTTTTCCATTTTCACTGTAACTATGGTTCTTCTCTCTACAAGCATTTTTTTTTCCTTTCTTTGTTTTCTTCTCTTTTTGATTTCATGAAATATGGTGCTTTTTGGTTTTTTTTCTTTTCTTGAAGGTGGGGTAGTATGCTTCGCTTTGAATTGAATTTCTGCAAATTTTGGCATTTAATTTATTGATTGGGTTGTTTGTTCTCTCTTTGTTTATGTTAAATTTGATTTGATTTTGACTTTTAATGATAAATTTATGCTGATTTTGTTTTTGATATTCAATGTTGGTTCTATAAGATCTGATCATACATAATAGCAGAGTGCAATATCTAATTGCAGCCAGAAACTAGTTTTTAGCTCACTGAAGTATTTCCATTTCTTCTATCTGTCTTGGCCATCTTGAAGAGAAAATTAGGGAATGAAAGATGGGCTGAAGTAGTTAAGATTTTGCAGTTGGACTTTTCTAAACAGGTATCAAATCTTCCCTTGTTGGTTTGATGCTCCTTTTTTTTTTTCTCTTTCTTTTCCTTTTGGGTTGGTTGAGTGCCATCATTTTCTAAAATTTACTCATTGACTATCTTCATATTAATAACTGGACCACTATGTTGCGATTGTCACCATGTTTTTTTCAATCTGCTTTGTTGGTGTTGTTAACTTTTTTATATTTAAAGTTGTTTGAATGTTTAGTTTAGTTTTGCTTCATTTTAAGTGAGTGTCCTGACAGTATATTGAATATTTTGTTTTGTTTTGCCAATCCGCTTTGTTAGTTTAGTTTACGTTTTTATATTGGCTTATTATCACAAAAGGTCCCTAAGGTTTACGAAACTATCAGATTGCATCCTTAATGTATTTTTTTGTCACTCGTGGTCCTCAAGGTTAGTATGTATAATCACAAATGGTCTCTGCCGTTAGGTTCCGTCAAAAACTCCGTTAGTTTGCTGACGTGGCATATATACATATCACAAAACATCCCTAAGGTTTACACATCTATCACAAATGGTCCTTGCGAAATTTTTTAATTTTTTAATTTAAAATTCATAAAATTTTGGTTTAAAATAATTTAAAATTCATAAAATTTAAAAATGAAAAAACCATTTATATAAGGATTTTAACCTTAAGGACCATTTATAATCCCTAAACCCTTGGTTTTTTTCATTTTTAAAATTTATGAATTTTAAATTTTTTTTTAAAAACTCCATTAGTTTGTTGATGTGGCATCTATGTGGAGCCCACATCTAAAATAATATAGTGTCATGTGTATTTAAAATACAATATATATTTTAAAATAATTTAAAAAATAAAACCAAAATTTTATGAATTTTAAATTTAAAAAATTTAAAAAATTTGCAGGGACCATTTGTGATAGGTGTGTAAACCTCAGGGATGTTTTGTGATATATATATATATATATGCCACATAAGCAAACTAACGGAGTTTTTGACCGAATCTAATGGTAAGGACCATTTGTGATCATACATACTAACCTTGAGTACCACTAATGACACAAAAAAACATTAAGGATGAAATCTGATAGTTTCGTAAACCTTAGGGACCTTTTGTGATAATAAGCCTTTTATATTTGAAGTGGATTGAATGTTTGAGGAAGATAATTGAGGTTTCCTTGGTCAATTCCAACATGTATGGTCGTTATTGCTTGTGTTGGAAGCCAGGAACCTGAGAAAAAGAAGCAAAACCAATTACCAGAGATGAAGTAACAGAGGAAATTAGTTCTTTTAAAAGGGGAATGAGAGACCAAGTCCAAGTGGGATTAGTTATTTTGAAAGTAGATCGAGATCCCAAATGCTTGTAGATATATATTTAGTTAAAAGCTGAATTCTGATTAACCTTTGATTTTTATCAACTGGCCAGAGTTTGAAATTCCGCACCACTTTGTTTAAAACAAACCCCTTCTTCAAATTATTAGAAGTGCAACGTTATAGTATCAAATTTCGTTAGGGTGGGACATTCTTAATTACGCCTCCATTTTGAAGTATGACAAAACATTAACCTATCAGGCGCAAAATCAAATAAAACTTAGTTGGTTTAATTTTTAGACTATACAATGTGATACACAAATGGAAATGCAAAACAACAATAAAAATATCTTATATTAATTAACTTATATCATCCCTAAACACATCGAAATCTGTCTGTATGTTTGGATATGGAACACATATATTAACTTAAGGCACATATCCTCGGCTCTCCTGGTACTTATCATACTCTTCCATGGTGTTGAACTCATTGGAGTTCTCCCTGTTACCATTATAACCCTCAACATAGTTTCTAGTGCTTCCTCTCCCTGCTTCGTAATTTTCATTGAAATTTTGGTTGATCACATCATGATAGTACCTACCATTTTCCAAAAACCTTGTGTCACTCATCCCTTGCTGTGCATTAATCTCACGGTTTTCCCCGCCATTGCCGCCCTTGTAATTGTTCGTTTTTGTGTAGCCATTGCCATTAATGTAGTTGTTGTTGACATAGTTGGTCTTGTAGCCATTACCATTAACGTAGTTGTTGTTGTTGTTGTTGACATAGTTGGTCTTGTAGCCATTGTTGTTGTACAAGTTGGTGCTTTCATAATTACCTGTGCGATCAAAGCTTTCACCGCTTAGTTCTTCAGCCAAAATTTCATCTTCAACATCAATGGTAGTTGGTGTCTCCTCCGTGGAAGGGGATTTGCCAGAGCCAAGGCCATACAAGGCGCCATTGTTGCGGTGCTCTTTCTCCGAGTAACTTGGTGCTGGTGCCGGCACGTCTGCTAGTTCTGGTGCCTCTGCTGCTGGTGACGGTGCTGGTGTTGGCACTTCTGCGATAGAGGTACTGATTGTTGGCTCGTTAACATTCTTGTTGTTGTTGTAGTGGGTGACTTTGCTGAAGAACACGCTCTCTCTAGCTTGAATATTTTCGAAGGAGGAGAAAATGAGCACTAGAAGGAAGAAAAATGAGAGTGGTTTTGCAAAGGGAGCCATTGTTTGAGATTTGTTGGTGAATCAAAATGCTGGGTTTTCTAGGCCTTATATGTACGTGCTTGCTCTCTATTTTTCTATTTTTTTCTTTTTGGTCTCTTTATTGGGCGAGCAATCATGCGTCGATTGAGGAAAGGAAGGGGGCTATGGGGTTTTTAAAATAATGGCATATAGTGCACGCTGCATGTGCAATCCATGAGAATGTCTAGCTAACACCTTTATTGTCAAAAACACTGTCTTAGTCAAAGGGGTGGCATTTTCTTTATTTCTAGCTACTTTTGAAACAGATTTCTCTGTATCGATTTCTCTATATTTGGGGAGAAGCACCTCTCATGTGCTTCTCTATAAAATCACTTAAAATCACTTAAAGTGATAATGGAGAATATAAATGATTCTCCATGAAAGTGCTTTTTGGCTTATCTAAAATCATTCCCAAATGAACCCTTAGTTAAGTAAAGGAAAAGTCAAAAACAAAAGTAAAAGGAAAAAGAAGTTGAGAGGAGGTCCCATATAATTACCAATGCCCCATGAGTTCTGGCTTCTCTAGTAAGCATGTAGTTCGCTTGATGATTGTTTTTGGTTTTTCTTTTTATGTTTTGGCCTCTTTTTTTCTCTTGCAAGTTAATTTTGCAAAGTTACCTCAACTACCAAGACCATTAGGGTTGATAATTGAGTAATGCTACTCTTACCACATTTATATATCATATTCTCATACCACCTTATGTGATAGATAAGGTGGACAACCACATCAATTAAAATTAATTTAACATTTTCTTTTCTTTTATGATTTATTGACATTTTTTAATTGATGTGGCTATCCACTTCATTTGCCACATAATTAAGGTGGTATGAGAATGTGGTAAGAGTAGCATTATTCTTGATAATTATCCCAAATGTTTATCAAAATGCTGAAAATATTGTCGAATAATGCTACTCTTATTACATTTGTATACCACATTCTCATATCACTATGTGGCAGATGAAGTGGGACAACCACATCAATTAAAATTATTTAACATTTTAGGCTGTTGATGTTAAAAGTCAACTAATTTTCTCCTCCTTTAATTTCCTAGTTAATAATTCCCCTCATTTTCTCACTTGGTTTCCTTAATTGATAATCCGCAACTTTCCCAAGTCATTTTGTTTTGTATAAATAGAGTTTAGGCCCTATGAGATTCACTGAATAAGTAGATAATTTTCACGCTTTAACAATTCAATAATTGACCAAGGCAGTGAGGAGGGGCGAAAGCCATTCATCGGCCAGCAGCAGTGACCCTGGTCTCCCAAAATTTTAAGCACATGTATATATAATAAAATGACATCGCCTCTAAATATTGAAAAAAAAAACTCTCATATTTAGGTTTGTGGGTCCCAAAATATGTATGTAGTTTGTTCTTTATATTTTGGCCCTCCGAACTTAAAATCCTAATTTGGCTCCTGGCAATAAATCTATTTCTTGTACTCGAGTTCGATTTTTTTTCACGTACATTAAAGTAGTTAAAATATCTTATGATTAAAAAAAACAATTTAAAATTCAATTATCCACATCGCTGCAAAAAGCAAGAAGTGTTTTTTGATGCTTTTGCAAATATTTATCAACAAAAAGCATGGTATGCATCCATAATCTTTTATTTCTTTGTAAGCAATAAGGGACTATATTAGTGGCGCAATCACTGGACTGAAAATTGCAGCACGTCAAACATTGTGAATGCTTTTCTTTTAATGGCTCAAAACTTTTGACTTTTGATTTGCGAGTATGCTCCAGAAATGGTGGAGAAATCAGGAAACGGAAATGGTATGTGGAACTTGAGAATCGAAAGACTTCAACGGGTTTGGGTTTTCAGTGGAGTTATGAAGGCCATATAGTTCTTTGGACTTTAAGGCCCTATTTGGTGGGTTGGACTGGACTGGTTAGGATTGGGCTTGGAGTGTTGGACTGATTTGACTTGGATTGGGTTGGACTTTAATAAGTTGTTTGGTATATTACGTTGGGCTAAAATGCACTGGACTAAAGTCCAGTCCGTTGTTTGGTACAAGTATGGACTGGACTGCATTGGACTTCAAACAAAATTTATTTTTAAATTTTATTAAAATTTTAATATCAGAAATAATTAAATTTAATAAAAAAAACTTGCACACAAAATTACAAAATAAAAAATCACATGAAGATACCATAAAAATAGTCCAAAAATTCACAAAATTAGCAATAACACGAAAATTCTTTTAAGTACATTCAAATGATCAACAAAGGTTCGGTTCTTATGATAGTACTTTTCATAGTACTATGCTGTCAAAGCATATATGACAGTTACTAACATCATGGATGCACACAAACGTTGTTTCTCTAACTCGATTGCAACTAGAGTTGTCACAATTTTCCTCTTTCTCTTTCGATCCATGTCTACCCTGCCATTAACAATATTTGCAAGAACAAAATCATAATCTGTGATGTAATAAAGATGTAATAATTCTTGAAACTCATAAATCCAAAGCTGAGCAGAATGCCAAAATATATGAGATTATAAACAAATATATCTATATACATCAGAGACCAATATTATTATTGCGGAGGATGATGAATATAGTTTTATATATTGAAGTAAAATCAAAGGAGAAATTACATGATGACATACCAATTTCAGATCCAGCTGCCAACCAAACCAATATAGAATATCAAAGAAGGAGGGAAACAAAGACCAGGGAATTAGTTGCAGCTGATGATCTCTCAACAGAACCGAAAATCAAGTTACCTCAGCACCGCCATCTTTAATTCAGCTCTGTATCATGAAAACTGTGATGACCAGGGGAACAAAACAACCACAGACAGAAACTCAAACAAGTAGAAGCAGCTCAGAATTAAATTCATACATGCAAAAGATTCAAAGAACAAAAGAATGAGAGCAAAGAAAGAAGGCTTTTTTTCCCCACCTTAATGATCAGTCATGGAGCACACAGTGTTTTGTTAGTTGGTTGTGGCATGCTTAAATAGATATATAGGAGGAAACAAAGGCTAGCTCTAATTTTATAAACCAAAAAAATATAGTTTTCAAACGAATGTTGGATTTTCTTTCTCAAAAATATTTTTAAACAATGTTTATCACTGATTGCTTGAATTAACTGAAGAAAGTCCAACCCAGTGATACAAAGTAGCAAAAATTTATCAAGGTTCTGCAATTTGAATACGCCAAAAACTCTCAAATTTTTCGATTTTGCATATTCAGCAACCGAAACAGAGATTTACAAACTAGGAATTCCAATCCATGGCCAATTAAAAAACCAAAATTTCTCATCAAATCTTGCCTATTTAGATTCTTTGTCAATCTAGTTTCTGCTTGAACATAAATAAATAACTACACCGTTTCCTTTCTTCAACATAATAAGCATTTCAGAATTGAACCCAGAACCACAAATCATAAAAAGGGTCTATCTGATGCCAAATTCACCAAATTGAGATGGGTTTGTTTCTCTTTACCTTGTCGTTCATCGGTGTTGCTGGAGTCTCAGGCGAAGGCGTCGATCAACCCACCCTTCCCTTCTCTTCAGACCCACCCTTTCCTTCCTTTTTTTCTTATTCCTATTTCCATGAGAGAGAGCAAGAGAGATTGAAGTGTCAGATTGCTTGAAATCTGTGGGAGCATCAGAGACAAAGATGAATAGAAGAAGAAAAGAAAGACGATGAAAAGAAGAGGTGCTCTAAGCAACGAAAGGCGGAGGCAGAGGCTTCGAAACCCATGGTTCCACTTGGGTTTACAAAACCCTCATTCGTTGGATTGGTATCCTATCGAAATATGAGGCCTAACCAGTCCCACAATGCATTTAGGCCCACCAAACAATAGCTAGGATTATAGTCCATTTTAATTGAAAAAGTCTGGTCCAATCTAGCCCACCAAACAGGGCCTAAGGAGTTTGTGTTTTCACCGGATCAGTGTCGAGCATATTTGTTTCTTTAGGCCTTAACCCTCATCTTGGGCTGTAGATATGCCGAAATTGGGCCCATATTGCCTGCTGTTAATTTTGACTTTGGTCCCACAACCCTTGGTTGACACTAATGGGAGTAAGGGGGTTTGAACGCATGATACAGGATGCATGGGTAAATACTCTTAATTGCTTCAGTTACAAGTCCTTTACAAATGCAACACATTAAGGGGGCATTTGGTACACCATATTGGACTGGACAAGACTAAATTCAAAGACTGGCTTGGATTGGCTTGGACTTAATCTTGTTCTATGTTTGATGTATGCCTGTACTAAGTGGCAAGATAATGCTGTTTAACATTATCCTATATTTGTGTCACGCCCCAATTCGAGAATAAATAATATTCTTGAATTTGGGTGTAAATCATATCATATCATAGTTATAAGAAGGAAACCTTATGGGGTTGAAGACGTTGAGGTTAAAGAAGAGAACGAAGAAGACGAAGAAGAGAACAAGGGTGTTGGGGGACCCAATGATATGGTGGGAGAGAAGAAGGAAGCTTCCGAGGTTGAAGATGTTGAGGTTGAAGACGAGAATGAAGGAGATGACGCTGAGGTTGAAGAAGAGAACAAGGGTGCTGGGGGACCCATTGATATGGTGGGAGAGAAGAAGGAAGCCTTATGGGGTTGAAGACGTTGAGGTTGAAGAAGAGAACGAAGGAGATGATGCTGAGGTTGAAGAAAAGAACGAAGGTGCTGGGGGACCCATGGATATGGTGGAAGAGAAGAAGGAAGCCTTCTGGGGTTAAAGAAGAGAACGCATTAGATGACGCTGAGGTTGAACACAAAGAAGCATTCATGTTCTCAATCGCTTGTGTCGCTCTTTCTCTCGATGTGCGCATTATTTTGGCTCATATAAATTAGGCCTCCCATTTTAATTGAGCTAAAATAAGCCCATTTAGTCAAGTTGGAATCCACCCTAGTTCGGGTTTTAAATAATAACAAGTTTGGTCCAAGACAGGATTTGTGATAAGTCACAATAGCTCAATCCTCATCCATCCTATGCAACAAATGTACCCTAATCTATGTTAATCGTAACCCATTATCCCACATTTTTCTCACATTTATTTGGGTCCAAGTTAAATGTCTTTGCGTCACTATAATGGACATAAACTTCATCATTGTGGGCCTTTCTCCTCTAAACTCAAGTTTTTAGAGTATACTTGAGGGAGAAATTCTATAGCGAGGGTGTCATATATGGACCCCTCATGTGAATATTCATATTAGCCATAGGATCATTTCATTAAACTTAAGTGAAGTTACTATTCAGATGAATCTTATGACTAATATGAAGGTCTACATCTATGATCCATATATGACATCCTCACTATCGAACAACTCATACTTGAGGAGCATTGACAATTTGACCAAGACTACAAAATGATATTTTGTTTAGACAATGTTCCAAATGACTCAATTCATTTGGATTTGAGTGATAAAAGTTTTAGCCAAACGAGTTCAACCCATTTTTATCCATTCAAGGGTGAACCATAAATTCAAAAGAACTGGGCTACGTGTCTGTTAATCCAAGAAATACAAATAGGACAAGTCAAGAATAACTAAAGTTGAATTTTCTGTACTTGCAAGATACAACTATCATGATTGGATTTAGAAAAAATTGGCTCTTACGTACTAGCTCATTATTAATAGAAGAAAAAATAAAAAGTGAAGAAACTACACACGTGGTTGTTGGTTGAGGTGGGCTATTGTCGAAAGCCTAACTTTATGCGCTGTAAAAAAAACACATTTTTGCCCAAAGTTATACACTAGGCTATATAGCCAAGGCAACCAGCAAGTAGTTGTGGCCTTCAACACCTTGAAGGAACATTGCATGATTGCAATTATGATTGAAATGTACGTATAATGACAGCTAGTAACTAAACAGGTGGGTGGATTATTTGCAGCAATGGTCTCTCAACTATACCCCAAGTTACACTTTGGTCACTCAACTCAAATATTAGTTGCAGAGGTCACTCAATTAGGTGTTTTGTTGCACCGTTAGTCCTACCTCAAGTCTCTCTAACGGTAGGGACTAATGGTGCAACACAACACCTAATTGAGTGACCAAAATGTAACTCCGAGTATAGTTGAGGGATCATTGCTACAAATAATCTTAATTGAAAAGTCACATTTGCCCATCAATAATCTAAGAGATGCTTGCCACGTCATTATTTTAAACAGAAAAATTAACAGACTTGACGGTAGGACTAACGGTGCAACAAAACACCTAATTAAGTGACTTCTGCAACTAATATTTGAGTTGAGTGACCAAAGTGTAACTTGGCGTATAGTTGAGGAACCATTGCTATGAATAACCCTAATTGGGTGCTGGGTTGCAACTAATAGTGATTTTGTACTCTCTCTTTTTTATTTCCTTTCCTATGGTCATGGAAGTAATAAATAAAAAAATCATTTCACCCAAAAAAAAAAAAATACAGGCTTCTTAGGAGCCATTTTTTCTTATACACAAATCATAATTTTATATATATGTAAAAATAACTCATTAAAATTATCCGGAGAAAAAAGTAGTTTGCACATGTCAAATTGTGATTTGTCTACAAGGACAAATGACTCCTTATAAGGACCCCCAAATTCTGTTATGTTGTGAGTTCAGCTATAGTATTAACCTTTTATTTTATTTTATTTATTTATTTTTTTAACAAAAGTTTAGGGGAGGGAGATGCTACCTCCATACCCAGGGCCAAAGCAAACCCCAAACCTTTACCCAGAAGGACTTAGGCAAAGGCCCCTATGCCCAGCAAACTTGTATGGATTTACAGAGGAATTTTATAGATTACCCACCAAACATGGAACTGATGGCAACGGGACTTGAACACTGGTGGGGCATCACACAGTGCAGGGACCTTACCAACTAAGCCAACCCATGTTGGCAGCTATAGTATTAACCTTGCCAAACAAAGTATATGGGAATTTTCATATATGCATTCTTCTCCAATATGGAGGTATTGATATAGAAGTACAAAGATATGTTAACCCCTAAAAGAGGGAAAAAAAAGAGGAAATAAATCTCAATTACAATAGGGATTAACATATCTTTGTACTTCTATATCAAAATCTTAACTAAATAATGACTCGCCGCACTCCCCCTCAAGTTGGCGTAAAGATGTTTCGCATGCTCAACTTGTCAAGCGAGACATAGAACACTATACTCGCCTTGATCAGGATATCTGCAAGCTTGTCTTCCAAATTAACAAACGAAAAACCAATAATCTCACTTTCCAAATTTTCCTTATCGAAGTGTCGTTAGAGCCTTCACTAGTGATGGGAGAAGGGACACCATTAACACTAGTCATGTAGGGATGGCTGGGCAAAATTCAAACCAACAACAAATAAGGTCTTTTCGTAAACCACAAGTTAAAAAAATAGACAAACCAACGCAAAGACCGCAACGGAAACACATGAGGAAACCCTAAAAAATAAGGTTAAGGCAAAGGCAAAGGCAAGGCAAAGTAAAGGTTGAAGGGAAAACTTTGTGTTGGGTATTTCTCAAATACATTTAAGGGTTAATTACAATTTAGCACCCTGTGTCTACACCCTTAAGACATATTAGCCCCTATTTTTTTTTTTTTTTACAATTAGACACCCTAGTCTTTTAAATTTGGTTACAATGTGGTTTTGCCGTTAGGGTTTTTGTAGATCTCACTGTTAGTTGCCTACATGGCACTATGGGGCCCACATCTTCGCTTTTTTTAAATTTTATATTGATTAAAATATTAAAAAACCAACTAAAAATAAGAAAAAAAAAATTAAAAATAAAACCCCATCATATCTCTCTTTCCCAGCAACCACCACCCATATTAGCTTAGCCACGTGCATATTAGCTGTAATCTGTTGTGATGCTTAGTATTAATATTAAGCTTCTTTTCTACTGCAATTCATTCAGAGTAGTCTAAGAATCAGATAATATATCTAGAAGTTTCTTTTTCTCTAAGCTTCTTCTGCTTTTGCGTAGCCTTCTTTCTTCAAGATCAGCATGGTTATCACAATCTAGAACAACCACACTACAAAAATTATTGGCTTTATTATCACACATATGCTAATTAATATAAGACAGTGTTCTTGTACATAGATAAAGTAGAAGTACGTACTCAATTAATTTATGCAAGGCCTAGAAAAATGATGGGCAAGAAAGAAAAAGAAAAACTTGCAGATGTTCCGGTCAATGTGCACATCTACGCGGAAGGACATGTCGTCAGATTAATTTTGGGCTGAACCCTTCTGTCTTGAACACATCATCAAACAACATACATGTTTGAGAAATGTAGAAGATCTGGTTCAAGCACAGGAGGGCGGTATCTTTGGAATTCCCTGCCGTTGTAGCTCCACCATGACGCTATCAGTAGCCGGAGGCCTTAGGCCAAGAGGAAGAGGCAGCCATGGCTTCGACAAAACGTCTCCAATAGCTGCATCTATGCTCTCGTTTGACTGTTACATGAATATATAACCAAATCAGTACTGTCATAAGTTGTTCATACTACTCTAAGTCCCGAGTTTGAATATATCCCTCCTTATGTATACTAGATCGGATATTTTCTTTTTTTCTTTTGAAGTTTAGATACGAAGCAAGTGGGCCGTGACTTCGAAATTTATAAGAGTTTAGGCTTTTGGGTAATCAAGAGTTTAGGGTTTAGACTTTCGTACTTGAATCCTAAAGCCCAGAAATAACGCAAGGCATGCAATCACAATTGTTTTTTTTTTTTGGTTTCCGATTCAATCATGAAATCCCCCCTACAAGATTCTTGTAAATTATATTCATATATGAGAATAAAAATCACTAAGT